CGCATGCAGGCCACGTGCCGGCTGGCAGTGCCTTCCTCCCCTCCCTGTGAGGCTGAAGAGGTGAAAGGAGAGGAGATGCTACACGGCCAGGAGGGAACATTCACCTGTCCCCCTCTGCAGCCCTTCACTGACTACAGTGTCACCATCTCCCTGCCCCCCAGCACGATTCTTTTCTCATGGTTGGTTAGGACAGAGGAAACAGGTATGTGCGCATGAGTGTAGGAGTGAAGGGACAGTCCTGGGTTGTGTCACAGGTACGGCAGGTGTATAACTGTCCCTTTCGCCCAGCAGCTCAGCCTGCAGTGATGGTCCTGGGAACGGGGCTGTTTGGAGCCTGTGGGGCTCAGGGGAAGGGGCTGTGCAGGACCCTGGAGCACAGCACGTCCCCTCCTCACTCTCCCCCTCCTCACCACACTGTTGTTGCTCCTGCTGCTGCTGCTGTGACACATGCAGCCTTTGTCTGGGACAAACCCTTCATGGGCAGTCCCTTTGAGCCTGTGGCCTGGGCACGGAGTTGCCTGCACCCTGTGCTGGGCCCAGCCCCTCCTCGCCAGCCCCACGTGACCCGTGTCCTCCTGTGCTTCCAGTGCCGGACAAACCGGAGAAGCTGTGGTTGGATCCCAGCACAGGGTCCCTCAGGTGGAAGGCGCTGCCCTCCTGCAAAGGGGAGATCATCGGATACCAGGTACGAGACCATCGGAGACCAGGTACCAGGGCCCCACAGACTCCCCGCAGGCCCCTCACCTTGCCAGGTGCCTCCCTGCCTGGAGCTCTGTGTGCTCAGGCGAGGAGAGTGGGGAAGGGAAAGCCGTGATGACCAGCAGTTCACAGCCAGTCCAGGTGAATATCTGGCTGTGATGAGCACGAGTACTTTCTGTCTCACCCTCGACATTCCTCGTACTGTGGCTTTGCCCAGAGAGGTGGTGGGAGCTCCCTCCCCCCTGGACTTCCGTCCTAGGTCTGCTCAGCCTGGGGTTTGGCAGAATTTGCGGCTCGGTGTGCAGCATTTGGTGACGTGCCTGCTGGGGTGGCCTCCCACGGTTTCCTGTGCCTCTTGCATGTTTGTTTCTTGTTCCTGCCACAGGGAAGCCTGTGGTTTGAATCGTCCTCTGAAAAACCCTCTTCTTCTGTGACAGTTGCACTCTTCCTTTGAGTTTTCCTCAGTGCATGGCTAGAAACACCTGCTCTGTCTGTGCGTTTGGGGCTCTTCCCACAATGCAGCCTTGCTTTCTAGCACTGAGTGGGAGTGAGACCCTTGCCAGTGTGTCCTATGCCCTCTTTGAGGACAGACCTCTCTGTGGGGTGACAGGGACCCAGTCATGCTGGTTCTTCGTGCCCCTCTTAGCTCTTTCCTGTAGAAACCAGCCCTGATGGCATTGCTTGTTGGCCTGTTCCAGCTGGTTCCCTGCTCCCAGATACCTCTGCTTGTGAAAAGAACCCTTTTTTCTGGTTTCAGTTAGGTCCTTTTTTGCATATTCCTAAAATGCTATTTCCTTAAAGACTCTGACAGCAGTAAGGATGACCCAGGATCTCAGGAAAAATTCAGATGGTGGTTTGGCAAAAGGGGAGCCTGTACCTCTATCCCTTGTGGTAACTCTCTTTTCCCCTTTTCATGTAGTCAAAGCCTTCAGAGTCCAACCTTGCAGAGGGAGAAAAGAGAAGTTCAGGGCTCCTCTTGTGGGGGATGTCACCACAGTGCCTGCAGCGTTGCAATACCATACCAGTGACCTGGCCTCAGCCTCATTACACATATATACACCTCTTCGTAGGAACCGCCTCCCTCCTGCCCTCAGCTCTACACAGAGGCTTGGTCCTTTGCTCACAGAGGCAGCCGCTCTGACATCTTGAGCGTTGGCTCCAAATTCCTCCTCTCCTCCTCTTGTCTGCTTTGAGGTCCACGCATGGGGCCAAGGCTCCTGCCCGTGAAAGAGCGCGGCTGCGCCGGCGGCTGAGCAGCTCCGTCACTGAGCACCCGCTGCCCGACTACAGCCCCGGCAGCAGCTACGTGGTGACGCTGCAGGGACTCACAGCCGCTGGGGCCGGGGCCGCGGCCCCGGGGGGGGTTCCGGCCCACAGTCCCCCCAGCCGCTGGGGCCGGGGCTGCGTCACTGTGGGAGTTTCAGACCAACAGCTCGCGTAAGGCTTGTCATGCCCCAGTCCCTCCAGGGTGGCCGCAGCGTGCGCCCCGGCTGAGGCAGCTCTGTCCCCAGCCCTGTGGCCTCCTGGCCGGAGTGGAGGAGCCTGGGCACAGAGCAGCTGTGCTCTGCGGCCTGCACTGCCCGGGGCTGCCTCTGCTCCCTGCACAGCCCCTGCCATGCTGCCCGCTGGTGCTCATCCCCCGGGTCTTCCCCTCCAGACACCCCACACCCTCTCGACAGCACCTGCCGCGGCGCCCGTGACACCTCCCCATCCCAAGGGACAGCCGTGCTTCGCCTCCACCCCATCGCCCGTCCTCACGAGGCGGTGAGGTGAGTGCAGCCCCCAGCAGCTCTGCTCTCCACAGCCCCGAGATGGGTTTCCCCACTGGCAGCGCTTGCTCACAGCGGCCTCCGTCCCTCTGTCCCGCGGCCCTCTCACCGCCCTGCCTTGCAGGGAGCACCAGCTCATCGTGGCCACAACGCACAACGGCACGGGGGTGGAAGGCACCTGCTTGGGGCAGCCACAGCCCTTCAACGCCAGCCAGCAGCGCGGCGCCTACGTGGCCATTGTGCTCAACCTCACCGCTCCCACGGACTTTGTGCTGGGCGACGGGACCCACGGGCAGGGTTACCACAACGCTGCCCTCCAGCTGGGCTTGAACTACACGGCCCTTCTCCGCCTCATCCGCCACTCGCAGCAGGTACCCGTTGTGGGGGGCTCCTGCTCCCCGGGGACGCTGCCAGCCAGGGCCGGGCCCCTCAGCAGGATCTGGGCCGGCCACCGACAGTGAGCGGCAGTGCTGCACGGGCTCCGCTCCCGGCCCCTGTGCTGAGAGCCTGGGCACCTTGGCAGGACAGTGTCCCCGGGGTCCTTGGCCACAGCTGGGCCGTTTGGTGGCTGTGGCTGGGAGGCCTTTGCCCCCAGGGTGGGCAGTGGGGCAGGAGTGGCCTGAGCTCTCCCTCCCGTCTCCTCCAACAGGCAGAGAAGTTCACCTGCGTGTGCTACAGCTTCTCTGTTGGTAAGTGGGCTCCTCGCTCCCTGTGCTCAACCCTCTCTCCCACGTCTTCCCTTTTCCCAGTCTGGCCGCTTCCCGTAGAGAGGAGCTGGCCGAGCGCAGGAGCGGTGGGATCTCATTCTCCTATTTCTGTCTTCATGGAATTTCTCTTGATCTTGAGGCTATCTATGGTAGATGGGATTTGAGCAACCTCAGGCCACTTGGGCAGGTGTGACATGGATGGCAGCTGGACACTGTGCACCATCCCTGCCATCTTCACATATTACATCTTAGTCCTAGTACTCCCCTGGTGCATGTGCAACCCCAGAAATGCAAACCCCTCACCAGGCTCTGTCCGTACCTGGGGCAGTCAGGGAGACAGGGCCCACGCTGAAGGGTATCACACCAAGCAAGCACTCTTTCTGCACAAGCTTAGCTATTCTCCAATGCATAGCCTGTGGTTGGAGATGAGGGAAGCTGCTTTTCACCCCATACCCCTATGGGATCTCCCAGTGCCTGGTTCAGGCTGTGTGGGACCCTGAGCCTGGGCTGTGCTGCTTGCAGGGCAGGAGCCGGTGCCTCCGCTGGGCAGGATTTCCGTGGTTGTGGTTATGGCAATAGCGCTAGTCATTGCACTCCTGGCACTGGGGATTTTGCTGCTCTTTGTGCTCTTCAGGTCAGTATGTGCCTAACCTCTCCTGCTCTCTATGAGGCATCCAGCACCTTGCACTGCTGGGGAATGTCCAAGTGGACCCTGAGATAAAGCAAGGTGGAAGGCAGGGCTGTTAAAGGGGCAACAGCCTCTTCTCTCTCTCTGTCTTCTGCTGGTCTATGGGCCTAACTTGCTGTTTTGCAGGCGGAAGTACAACAGTTCAAAAACATCGGAGAACAACAGCACTATCCCCCTGCAAAGATGTCAAGGAGGTGCAGTATGAGCAGAGGCCCTGCATGCCTTGTCTGGACAGACTGTCTGTTAAAAGCACAGGCAGGGTGCTTACAGGCTCTGTAAGGTCCTTACAGGAACAAGGGGATCCGAGCTGGCTGGCATGGGGAAAGGGGCACGTCCCAGGAGAAAGGGACTTATGTGGCAAAGGACAATCTAGGGTTTGGTGGGGTCCTGACCACTGCAATGCCAGCTCAGTCCCAGCTGCAGAGCTCCAGGGCTAACCATCAGGTGCATGCTAAACTCCTGGCCTCATGGTCTCCATAGGTGTGTGCAAGCTGAACACACAGATCCCGGTGGAGGAACTGCTGGAGGCTCTGAAGAGGTTTAAGAGGGCAGAAGTAGAGGCAGAGCAGACAGAGGATGAATCAGTCGACAGGCATGGCGCTGGGCGGCTGGGAGAGTACCAGGTTTGGTTTAGCTTTGCTTTTCCACCTGGCTGCACTGTCCACGCAGCGCTCACCCCTTCCTCGGGTGTGCCATGCAGTTGGGCTTGGCCAGCCCCAGAACACGTGCCAATGCAGAGTGGGCTTGTCTTCTTCCTCTGCAGCAACTGTCTTCCACTTCGTTGCATCCCTGCGATGCCGGGAAGGAGCTGTGTAACCAGAGCAAGAACCGCTACAAGAGCATCATCCCATGTAAGCAGAGCTCTCCAGGGGTTGGCACAGGCACCTGGAGATGGTTGGGCAGTACAGGGTGTTGGGCTGGTGTAGGTGCCCCTCCAGTTATTCAGCAATGCTGAGCTCCTTGTCTCATCCTCTGTGGCCACTGAAACCCAGAGGGATTTTCCAAAATTGTCATGTTGGCCCCACTGATTTATATCCAGTTGGAAAATCCTTGTTCTGCTCCTCAAATGTCCCTGCAAGTTTAATCATTCATCCTTGTATTCCTTTTCCTGCTGTTAGTCATTGCTGAACACTGCTGTGTCCCATCCAGAGGTGGCTATTTGTGGGAAAGCAGAGGGAATGACCCAATGTCTGTCAAAACTTAAAGCTCCTCCAGGCCCCACATGGTGTGGACATTTGGCCATTGCGTTAACAGTCCTCCCCAAAACCGTGTTGCCTTTCCTGCTGTACCATGTCACCTTTCGTCTCATTAGCTGTTCTTTAGCTCTCAACATGTCCTGAGGCCTGAAGTGCTGCTGAGGAGGGAGCGGACAGTCGCAGGCTTTCCTAAATTATACCCCGCTCCTTAAACAGTCACTTCATTGCTGCCCCGAAGAGACAGTCCACTGACTCCCACCTCCCTTCTCTTTCAGACGATCACTGCCGTGTAGTGCTGCAGCCCTCTGACATGGGAAATGGCTACATCAATGCCAGCTATGTGGATGTAGGTAGCGAGGAATTGCTGCCCTGGGCAGGGTAGAGACGCCTGGGCAGGGTAGGAGAGGTGCCTGGCTGCGCTGGGTGAGGACGGTCCTGCTCACATGGGTGGTCCCAAGGTCTGGCACTTGTTGCCCACAGGTGCTGGCAGATCTTGGAATGTTGCATTCCTTGCGTCCTCTCTGAGCTGCCCACCATACTCTGGGTTTGTGTGCAGTTCTCATCCCTAACAAAAAGGGACCTGTGTGAGGGGACAGGAGCTGAGATGCAGCCCCTGGGTACCCACTGGGTACCCCAGGGGTACCCACTTTCCGTGCTGGCCAGGAGTGGTGCTGTGGGACACACTCTGCTGAGGGCTTTGGGCTCTGATGCCTGGGGAGATGGGTCCTTTATTTCATTCCCTGTTAAACGATTAACCCATGTGATCAGAGCTGTTTGAACCTCTCCCCCACAGAGCTACCGGAGTCCACGCTTCTTCATTGCAGCTCAAGGTGGGTGCTCCCAGCCCTCATGTTCAGGAGATGCCAGTCTCTGCTCTGAGCACTTCGGGGAGTGGGGAACTGGGACAGCAGCCTAGGAGCTGTTAATGGCTCAGTCCTGGGCCTCTGTCTTGGACAGTGGTTACAGCTGCTGCAGAGCATGGAAGGCCTCAGTGGCAGTTTGGCAGTGGCCAGCTGAAGGTGGTCCTTGCATGGCCCAGGCTGAGGACATGGTCCTTCCACCCACAAGCCTGGTTTGTTCCCCTTGGTGGCTGGCATGACAGGGGCACACCTGCAAATGCCTGACACGTCTGCACTCAGTGCACTTCGAGGCAGGCTCCTTTCAGTGGTGCAAAGCCGAGATGGGTGAGTCTGCTCTGTGCAGCATGCGGTGAGGAGGTCTCAGGCTCCTTGCAAAGCTGCAGAAATGCTCTCCAGCAAATAGGACCCTAAATGTGGGAGCAGCTCATAGCCATCTTGAGAGTCTGGATGGGGAAGCCCCTGAAGCAGCAGTGAATCCCTGATATACCCTGGGCTCACCTGCCCTCCCATTTCCTTGTCGCAATTTCTAACATGGGTGATGAAGCCACGGGTGATGTGCAGTGTTAGTCCCCAGGCAGAGGTTAAGCCCAGTGCTGCTCATAGCGTGGCAATGTCTGAGCCATGCCCGGGAGCAGCTGCATCCCCATGGCTTGGACACTGGCACAGGGATCTCCTCTTCCTCTCCAAGGCCCCTTGCCTGGGACGGTGGTGGATTTCTGGCAGATGGTCTGGCAGGAGAAGACCTCGGTCATTGTGATGCTGACGGGCTTAGTAGAGCAGAACAAGGTAGAGAAACCATCTCAGCTTGTGCTCAACTTGGGCCTCCCCAGAGACCAGGCTTCCTTGCCTGCTTTGCTTTGCTTTGCTCCCAGTGCAGCTGTCAATGAGTGCAGAGAGCAGCTCCACACCACTGCTGGCTTGCAACGCTCCCCTCATGAGTTTGCTTGTGCTTAGCGGTCTCACTGCTGTTGACAGACCAAGTGTGAGCAGTACTGGCCAGAGCAGGAGCAGGTCTATGGGGACTTCACAGTGACGCTCAGCAACACCAGGACCACCACGGGCCTTGTCACACGCATCTTCTGCCTGCAGAAGGTAAGCCTGGCATGTAGCTGAGATGGGGATGCAGGATGCTTTTGGGTTTCAGCAGCTGGTGGGAGCTGTCAGCCAAGAGACTCTGTGGGGAGCCTTGCCTGGTCTCCAGTGCTGGCAGGTCAGCATTGCTGTCACTGGATGCCATGCCAGGGCATCGGCCCCAGGTTTCTGTGCCAGGCAAAGGCAATTGGTCAGCTCCAGTGGTCACCCCAGCTGAGTCTGGACTGATGATGCATGTTGGCAGATCGTGCATCCTTGAGGGGTTGGATGAGGTGATCACAAAGGGTATAAAATGGCATCTCTGTATAGCCAGGATGATGGGACAGGTGCCTGTCTGTCACCTGGGCCAGTCTGCAGAGGGTCCACATTGAAGGTCCGTGGTCACTTACAGCTCCTAAACCTGAACAGATAGTTTATGGTTTAAGATAACTTACATAACGCCATTTCTCAAGACAAGTACTTCTGCTGAAGTTACACCTCAGATAATAAGCAGAACCTGAAGGAGCTGCAAGGAGGGGAAAACAGGTACAATATAAAGAAATTGCAGTTATGCATATTCTTGTCTTTTCTTGTCTTGCCCAGAGCAAAGTCTAGCTGAAAGGTAAAGCTCCAAGAGCACGTGATGATGGGACATAGCAGTTCATTAGTTCAGGCCAAGTGAATGTGATGTTTAGGGGAAAAATACATGATGGGCTGGTAACAAAAGTGACTACATTCACTTCAGCACAGTACCAGCCTTAGGAAATACCTTATTTGGGAAAGCCAGGGCTTTCTTTTTTTTTTTTTTCCTCTGGGGCACAAGCTGCATTTACTGCTCTGAGTTCACTGTTCGCAGCATGGGGAAGCAGAGAACAAAGTGAACTGTGTAGCTGTGTGCTGGGTGAATTTGCCCTTTGCTGTCTGATGAGCTATAATGGAGCAGTCATTGTGGTGGGGGAGCTGGGGGGAACACGGTGTGTTGGTGCCCCCTTGAAGTGGTTTTCTCCCCTACTCCCTACTTGTTGGCATGCAATTACTTCACGCAAGTTTCCAGGTTGGTTCTTGCTCCCAGCTCCCAGCCGTGTCTCCCTCTTTGCAGGCAGGCTGTGCTCTCCCAAGAGTGGTGGAGCAGTTTCACTACCTGCTGTGGCCAGACCACGGGGTGCCCAGAAACCCTGCCCAGCTCCTGTGCTTAGTGGAGGTGGTGAACAAGAGGGCATTGGAAGCGCCTGCTGGACCTGTGCTGGTGCACTGCAGGTACTGGGGCTGGAAATGCTTGGGTGCTGGGGCAAGGCTGGCTGGGGCAGCACTGACCCCCAGTTTTCTGTGTTCTCAGTGCAGGGATCGGGCGGACAGGTACCTTCATCGCCCTGGACTTCCTTCTGAAGATGGGGAAGGCCGAGGGGCAGGTGGATGTGTTTCACTGCGTGCAGAGGCTGCGGGAGCAGCGGGTCAGCATGGTGCAAACCCAGGTGAGGAGTATTACCTGCTCCCTGCACACTGTCAGGCTGCAGATCTGCTTCCCGCCCTTCCCAGGGATGTGGCATGCAAAGCCACACTCGCCATGCCATTCATGGTCTAGCCATGGGGACTGGAGCTGCCAGGTGATGGAGACTGCAGGATCTTGTTTTCAATGCTGTGTCCAAACCTAGTTGGGATCCATGTTCCCCTGAGACCCTCTGAGGTGCCAGCAGCATTCATTTGCACCAGTCATCCTGGTATAGAAGAGCTGTCTTGTAGGCAAGGAGCATGAACGTGAATTCACATGTCCTTCAGGCTTTCAGGATGTCTGCCCTCATGGCATCTTCTAGGCAGCAATGTCCTGGCCGAGGGACTACATCCCCATAGTCTGCTCAGTGCTTGGGACCCTTTGGAGGAAATAGGTTGGGCAGGACCATCCAGCTGCTTGTAGGACTAACTAGTTCACTGGTTTTCTGGGTTTCCTTCCCCAGAGCAGGAGTCTGGTCTGAGAGGGAGCATTAATATGCAGGAAGATGGTCTTGTATGGGATTTTGCAGTTCCTGGCTGTTTCTCAGGGCGGGGCTGCCTGCACTGAGAGGTGTCTGGCCTCAGGGCCCCACAGCAGGAAGGTGAAGGGTGGACCTGGCTCATTGCTGGCTCAGGTCAATGCCAGTGTGCTGGTGGTCTGGAGTCCCAGGGCTCCTCATGGAGCTGCTCCAGACTGTTCAGCTGACCCGTGTCCTCATGCAGGAGCAGTACACCTTCCTGTACGAGGTGCTGCTTGAAGGCTTGCTCTGTGGTAGCACCGGGGGCCCAGTGGAGAGCATCGCCAGCCATAGTGGAGAGCTCCCCCAGCCATGTCCGCTGCCTTCGAGAAGCTGAGACCTCAAGGCACAACAATGTCCTGGAGAAGGAGTTCAAGGTACCACCAGGATCTGGTGCACTGGGTCTGGTGCTTCGGGGGCTGGTCTGTGGTGCCTCCCTGCTACTGCTCCCCTCCCTAGCTGTGGGAGGGAGACAGGGGAGCATTTCTCTGGGGTGGCTGAAGAAGGGGAGGAGCTGACAGGCAGGACTCGCTTGGCTGAATCATCCCTACAGGCCCTGCAGAAGTTTTCTGAGTTGTTCCAGCTCTTGCCACACAGAGAAGCAGAGAAACCCAGCAACCAGCCCAAGAACCGCAACCCAGGGATGTTGCCAGGTAGGGCTGGGCAGCCCCTTGCTCTGTGACCCAGCACCTGAGAGCAGCATGAGGGGACGATGCTGCCCTGCTGCTTCCCTCCCCAGCACCATGCCACAGGCAGGTTCTGCCCAAGGTCCAATCATCATTTTCTGGTTGGTAATAAATATAGATTAAGTTGGTCCCTCCATGGGAGAAAGACCCCGTCCCTGCTTCCTTCTGGGCTTGCTGGAGGCATGCATTCATGGAGTATACCTGGGATAGACATGTCCCTGGGTCTAATCTGTCCCAGAGGAGGAGCCCAGATGAGGCATCAGGGAGAAATAAGGAGGGTGGACCTACTGTGCCTCTATGCCTCTGCACATGGGGTTTTGGACACCCCGTGTCAGGCAGTCCTGAGCTGTCATGGCCATGGGGCTAGTGGTGCCTGTTCATCCAAGTCTCTCCAGGCCGTGCTGCAGGGAGCCACGCTGACCCCACTGCTGGCAGGGAAAATCCCATGCCTTTGTGCAGGGAGAGGATGGCTCATCATTTCTCTCTCTTCTCCTTGCCTCCACAGCGGATTCCTGCCGGCCCATCCTGATGTCCTCGCTGAACGCAGACGGCTCACCAGGTTACATCAACGCTGTGTTTGTCAACGTAAGGCTCCCGCCCCAGCCGGAGCAGCAGAGACCCCCCCCCCAGGCACCACTGCTCGAGGCAGGGGTAGACCGGCTGGGGACCTGCTGCCAGGAGATGGCCCCCGTGATCAGCCTAAGCCCTTCCTGCACAGACAGCTCAGCAGGCTGCCGCACAGCCGCTGGCTTTTGCCTGCTGGGAGCAGAGCCCAGGGGTGATGAGCTGAGGGGCCAGCGGGGTGGCAAGCCTGCTCTGAGCAGGGCTGGGGTGTTCTGCGTCTCCTGGGCCTCCAGAGCCCTGGCTGCAGGGAGGTAGAGAGCTGTTCCCGCTGTTGGAGGGGCTCTCGGGGGCCGGATTGCATGACCTCTTCCCCCAACACCCCGGAGTGTTTTGCAGACATACACCAAGGAGGACAAACTCATCATCACCCAGCTGCCTTTCCCCACCACGCTGGTGGATTTCTGGTCTCTGGTCTGGGATTACACCTGCACATCAGTGGTTGTGCTGAACCAAATCCAGGAGCTGGACAAGGTCAGCAGCCCACGCGCAGCCTTCCTCCCCTCTCCTGGCTCCCTCTGAGGCCCAGCAGCATGCTTTCTGCCTTTGACCCCATGCAGCTCTTCTCACTAGAGCCTGCTTGCTGCAGGAGCCCGCTGCAATCTTGTGGGCTCCACCCGGAGAACCATGAGGACAGTCCCAGCACCATGGCACTGCAGCAGTGGGGTGTCCCCAGTCTCACAGCAAGGGAGGATCCCTAGGGTTTTGCTTACCCCTGCCCAGGTGTCCTCTCTGCAGGAGTGTTATTGTTCTGGCTGTAGCACCGCGGTTTGGTTCCCAGCAAATGGCAGGCAGAGCACCTACGTGCACACTGTGGCTTATGGGCGAGGGGTTGGCGTGAGCACACCCATGCGAGGTGCTGAGCTCTGCCACACTTGCAGGTCAGGGCTGTGTGTAATCATGCACGTGTCTCCCCTCCAGACATATGTGCAGGTCTGGCCCACCCAGGGCGAAGCTGTCTACGGCCGTTTCCATGTCTGCCTGATCTCAGAGGAGCCCGGAGTTGGCTTCACAACCTGGAAACTTTCCCTCACCAACAGGCAGCAGGTGGGCTTTTTGCACAGAGATGATGAAGACCTTTGAGAACAGCTTTTGCAAGACCTGGGAGGACCAGCTGGGCTTCAGCATCAGCAGGCTTTGATTTGGGGTCAAAGTCACAGCTAGGGGTGGCAGAGGCCACAACAGTCAGAGGGATCTGATGGGGTCCTGGAAGGACACTGGCCAGAGCAGGTCCTTTCACCTTGGGAGAGAGGTTAGTCCCAAGAGGGTGAGTCTGCAGACAGAGGTACGTGGCAGAGGTGCATTTGTGTACCTTTCTAACTTGGAGAACACCAGCCATGGACAGAGTCTGTGTGCCTTGGTGGTGGTTCATGGATGGGGACTGGCATCAGTCTGAGCTGCACCTGGTGGTCAGCTCTTATCTTGTGCTCTGTATGTCTGCCAGTCTCAGAGCACTCAATGGAGAAGGGCAAAGTCTGGGACTGGGACATTCCACTGTGGAGCTGCTCCCTTGATCTGGTGTGCATGGCTGAGCCAGGGCTGACACACGCTGTCTCTCCCTTCCCTCTGTCAAGCCAATGGGTTTCTTCTCTTCCCAACCCGCTGTCTTTCTTCCCCACTAGCCCAAGAAGTCTGCTCTGGAAGTCCTATTCTGGCAACTGAAGGACTGGCCCATGCAGCAGCGTCTTCCACCGCACCCTGCCACCATCATCAGCCTGCTAGGGAAGGTGGAGACATACCAGCGGCAGAGCCAAGACAGACATATCCTTGTCACCTGCTGGTAAGTGATGTCTCTTGGAGGAGCAGCCGTGGCACAGAGTTGCTTAGCCCAGGCTGCATCATTGAACATGGGTCACAGCAACATCCTCAGCTCAGGTGAAAGGTGGACATATGGCCATGAATTCAGCTGTGTTCAGGGAGGAAGGCTTCCCTGTGGAGGTTGGCTGTGTGCAGGATCTGTGGACATGACCATCCTGAGAACCTGCACGGCTAGTGGGACACCTCTGAGGCTCAGCACTGCTGGGTGATCCCAGGGCAAGTGACCCTCCCATTGCTCTCCTCCGCAGGGATGGTGCCAGCCGGAGCGGAATCTTCTGTGCTGCTAGTTTCCTGTGTGAGCAGATCCAAAGCGAGGGGCTGGTGGATGTATCCCAGGCTGTGAGGATGCTGAAGAGGCGGCGGAGACAGATGATTAAAGATGTGGTAGGTGCTGGCTTCAGACCCAGCCAGGATGGCAACACTGGAATGAGAGCCATAGCCTGGACTGTCCCAGCAGCTGCCCTAGCACCTATGTGCTCAGATGATCCTGGGGGGGGAGCAGGGGGAGATGAGACCTCTGAAAACCTTGTTTTCCACTGCTGGGACATACCCACTCACTCGGGGGGGGGTTCTGCAGAACCAGATGGGCACTGAAGCATCCTGCAGGCTGAGTTGCCCCTTTCTGGTCCACCTGGTCTGTTCAGCGGTGGGCTGCACTGGTGGGTGCCGAGGTGCTTGTCCTGCACCCACCTCACCACCTGGTCTGGGTGCTAGAGGCCATCATAGGATGAGCACCCTGGATGAGACTGAGCAGCAGATGCTTCATGCCATGGATGCTGGCTCTCCTCCCAAGACCAGCTGGCGTCAGCTTTGGGGTAGCCCAGCTCTCAGCCTGTGATTCCTCAGTGGGGGGACGTGGGCTCCAACTGGGAGGAGGAGAATGGGCTGTACCTGCGCTTAGCTTGCTCAGGAAGCTGTTGGCAACCAAGGCTGGCCTTCCACTGCAGGTATTGGTGTGCCAGTTTCTCATGTGCATCCTTCTGTCCACAGGAGCAGTATGGGCTCTGCTATGAACTAGCCCTCAGTTACTTGAATTCATTTGAAACCTATGGGAATTTCAAGTAGAGGCATGGCCACAGCCCATCTCTGGCCAGGACTTTGACTCTTTTGACAGCCCTCCATCAGTAACAATGGAAACCAGAGGAGACAAGAGGGGTGTGCACAGCCCCAAGATGCTTTACTCCCCTGAAAAGCCACCCCAAGGGTCCTCTGCAGCTGGAGAGCACAGGCTGGACTGTCTCCAAACTGTGGTCAGGCTTTGAAGTGGGAACCTAACCCTTTGCCCAGAGTTTGCACAGGAACTTACCTGGAATCACAGCCCGAGTATGCAGACCAGAGCAGAGGCACCAGGACTTGACCTGTCTGTGCTAGGGATGAAGAGAACCAGCTGTCCCGTCCAGGCTCCCTTGTCCCTTCAGGTAGCCCCAGGGAAAGTGGGGTAGCTCCACCAACACCCAAACTGTGTTTTGCCATGGGAGGATCAAGATCCACAAGGGCTCAGGAGCACAGGCTATCTGTCCCACTTTGGGAGAAGCATGAAGCCCAAGGCCAACAAAAGCCAAGGGAGGGACAATCCACAGTCCTATAGGGCTAGCCTGGTCCTTCCCACCCTACACAATCCCTTCCTGGAGCTCCATCTGCTTGATGCTGATCCAGGTGCCACAGCCCTGCCAGCTCCAGAGAGGCTCCCTCACCAGCCTGTCTGGCTCCACCATGGCAATCCCAGGTTGTAGCGGCTCAACTTAGATATCCTGGATGTGGTTCTGGCAGGAGGTGCTGCACCATGGAGGCTGGTTCTGCTTTTGCTGTTCAAGGACAAGGAGCCTCAGAGCCAGGACTGTCCCCATGGTTCTGTTCTGTGTCTCACCAATAAAGATTCTGTACTGGCCATGGTAGTGGTGACCTCTGATCTTCACTTTTCTTCCAGGTTTGACCTGGCACAGGGGCTGCAAAGCAGCTGAGAGCACACAGATCCATCAGCTCTGGCGGCAACATGGGCACAGAACATTCCTGCCCAAGATGTGCGTTGAGGGACATCACCCTTCACTGATTCCCACCACGCACCCCATCCAAATTCACATAAGAGCTGCCCAGCACAGCCCTGGCGGTTGGAAAGGCTGCCAGGCACCACGCGGGGACACGGGGTCACAGCAGCCCTGCTCATGACCTCCCCTCAACAAGGAAGGCGCAATTAGCTCCCTGCAGGGGGATGTGACCCCACAAGGGCAATGAGGGGACCAGGCAGGAGCTGTAGTGGGGCAGGCAGCACCCTCCAAACCACAAGCCTTTATTCGTTGTCGAGACAGAGCAGGCAGAGTCAGGAAGGCAGCCCAGCCAGGCCAAGCTCCAGCAGAGCCCTGCGTTTGGCTGAGTATCAGCAGGCAGAGGAGGGAGAGGGGTTGGGAACCCAGGACATGGCGGGAGCAGGGAACATCCCTCAGCCTCTGGCATACAGTTCGTGCTTCCAGGATAGCAAAAATGAAAGGAAAGCCTAAAAAAAGGAACTACAGAAAGTCACATTCAAAGGCCTTAAAAGAGCAGTAAACGAAAGCTGGGAGGTGAAGGGGGTGAGGAAAGAAAAAGCTCACAACCCTCCTTGGCCTCCTGTTTTCCTCTTGCTCTGATGAACTGGATGGGACCCCCAGTGCTGGTCACAGTCACAGGAGATCCAGGGGGCCCGGCAGCCATCAGCAGTGAGCTGGGGTCATCCTCCCCATCTTCTCTGCTCCCTCACTGCTCTGAATGTCTCCTGTGGTCCTGGGCAGGGGCTGGAGTGACTGATCTCCAGCCTGGCCACCTTTACCTGCAGAGACCAAGAACACCCGGGGCAGAGGCTGCTGCGTGCCCTCGGCTGCATGGGGAGCTCACGCCACCACAGCTGCCTGCACACAGGAGTGTCTGAGACAGGCTGGAGCACAGGGCAGTGCCTGTCACAGCCCGACCCCTTTGTCCCAGCTGTGCCCAACCACAGGTCCCCCAAAGTGTCTGCTGGTGCCCAGGTGAGAGCAGCAGTCCCTCAGCCTGACCCTCCTGAGACCCCTCCCAGCAGATCTCTCCCCTGGGGGGGATGACACGGCCATGGGTCCCTCAAAGGCCTGAGCCACCCTTTGGGATGCCCGTCTTTGCTCGCCCCTGCCCCTGCTCCAGGCTGGGAGCACTGCCTGGAGCCATGCTCTGCTGCCGCATGAGGCTTAGCAGGCAGAGCCATCCTGACCGTCCACAGCACCACAGAACTGGCCCAAATGGGGAGGTGTGTCAGGGAAGGGGATGAGAAGACATTTCTCCTGAGGGCCAGGCTCTCCTGGGAGATCTCTGTTCTCCTTCCACCTGCCAACGAGCCCTACAGCCCTTTTTGTGATGGTGGTCCAGAAAATGGCATTTTCCTACCTTTTAATTATCCTCCTTAGCTTTGCTGGGCAAAGACTGAACCTGTCCCCTTCCTACTCCCCTGGAAAGCACCAGCCACAGGATCCCTGCAGACAGGAGGAGGATCGCCAAGAGCACAACCACCCCAATCACAGTCCCACGCCATGAGCCTGGAGGCTGCCCTGCAACTAACACACAGCCAGGAGTGGGTGCCACAGCCTGGGCCACGTGCTGGCAATGGCCCCAACGAGAGCAAAGGGTGTGTGCAAGTGTGTAGGTGTCTGTCTTGGCTTAGGTTTCTTCTGTGATGGAGGATCACCCCATGTATGGGAAATGAAAGTTTTCCTCTGCCCACCGTGAGACCCCACCGCTCCTGCGCTCGGCCAGCTCCTCTCTACGGGAAGCGGCCAGACTGGGAAAAGGGAAGACGTGGGAGAGAGGGTTGAGCACAGGGAGCGAGGAGCCCACTTACCAACAGAGAAGCTGTAGCACACGCAGGTGAACTTCTCTGCCTGTTGGAGGAGACGGGAGGGAGAGCTCAGGCCACTCCTGCCCCACTGCCCACCCTGGGGGCAAAGGCCTCCCAGCCACAGCCACCAAACGGCCCCGCTGTGGCC